GAATTCATTGGTCAAATTTTCACAGAATGTTCTTTAAATAAAAATCTATATAAAAAACGAAAAAAACTATTTTTGATTGAAATTCACAAATAAACTGCATCTCTACCTTAAACGCCGCTTTTAACACACTTGCCCTCGTTGTGACCCGATGCGTTCACCTATTTCAACAAAATTTCAATTTATTTCCACGCGGCTGTCATTTATTTAGTAACTGTGATTTGTCGTTTTTTAAATTATTTTATATTGATCACCATGGTCTAATGTTTAGAATGTCAAAATATGTTATCTTTTATTTTAATTTTGAAAGTTTTACTCAGACGATCGATGAAATAAAACAGTGTAGTGACGTGCCTAGTAACCTGCTAAATAACGAGATAATTCCAACGTCCATTTCTATTTTGTCCAGCGACAGTGTACAAACGTGCACCGCTGACGATCACGGTGACCAGCTACACCAGAACGAACATATTTCGCATCTAACTCAACCCCATGCAACAAAAATTTATACTATGTGTTCATTATGGTCCATTCCTCCTCGACGAACAAGTGAAAATTTAGTCAAAGACGAGAAAACTGCAGAAGAAATTTGCCTTATTTACGCGTATCGGCAATGCAAGCTGCCATGCGACTTCCCTTCTGACGTCACAAGGGGAATTTCCGTATGCAAATAAGAAGCTAATGAGGAGCCTCGTTTTAAAATACACAAAAATAAAGTTGCCGTGGATTGAGTTTAAAACACATTTCTTCACTTAAAAAAATAATTCATGCTTAGAAACATAAAACAAATAATAATATTTATGTATCAATGGATAATTTTAGGCGTGAAAATAGCAGCCATTTCACAGGCACTTTAAATAACTCTGCTATGATAGACCATAAAATCAGGTAAATACATGATGATTCACAAATGTCAACAATTGAAGAAAAGTACAAATTACTAGTAATAAAATTCTTCCAACTAATTCAAATAACAATTTACTTCACAAAAACAGTTCAGAATAAGTAAATCAAATTATGTTCATTTGGAATTTATTTCAGTGAATTTGTAGTATATAAGAAATATGAAAATCTAAAGTACCTGTCATAAATAATAATAAAAAAATATGGAAACTAATCAGTCTAAATAGGAAATTAGAGTTACTGTATTGAGAAAGAAGCACTGTAGATATAAAAACTATCTGGTTATTGTTTTTGAGAAGTAATTGAAAATATCATTTCAAATGAAAAAAATATTTGCTAAATACAGGAAATATGAGTTATTATCATGAAATAAAAAAATCTGAACAGAAACAATTCCAGAAAAATATGAAAATACAATTTGGTTTACTGAACCATACAACCAAAATGTGATTTTTTAATTCAATGTGAGGCACTGCATTCCTGCCGTAGGAATGAAACAACATGTTGTGATTTACCAGAAAGTAAAATTAAAGTGGTTTACATGTACTTTACATGATTCAATCACATATGCATTTCCTATATATGGTGGAGCAAATGTGTTAAAACTAAAACCTTCTCACCTGATAGAGTTGATTGTATGAATCAAAGAAGACTGCCAATGTGGTTGTATTCTCAGCATCACCCAGCATCAGATTTGATAGTAATACCGATGTTGAAGTTGGTACTAGCTTAGTTATACTGTTGAAATTACCTACAATGCCATACCATACCTAGACAAGAGTTACAGTTATTAAAATCACATAATGTCTATAAATTACAGTATTTTTCCCAAATCTATAATTCTTACATCATAAAATGATATTTCAGTCACATAAATATGTACATTAATGTACCAAGTCATGCTAATAAGTGATGGGATGATAATGTTGTTACTGGGACAGCACAGTACATCTGGTGTAAACAACCAGTATATTATACATGTATTGTAAACGTCGTGTGGGACCTATATAGAGTACATCACTGTGGTATTGTAAATAACAGTATGTTACCTCTTGCATTTGATTCAACACTGCAAATGCACCATCTAGAGAAAACGTAGCCACTGTGATTATTGACTTATCATGTACAGGGTACATAGACATTAAGTACAGAGTTCTACCATTATCGGCACTAGAAAGAAACATATATAAATATAACAGGATTTAAACAATCAAAAGTTTATTCATCAGCATCCTCTAGTTGTAATAACAAACATTTTTGGTAAACTGAAAATAAATTTCACTCATTGAATTAGTTGTCAATATGGTGTATGGTTTTGGTATTTAAAAAAAAAACAAACCTATAATACGGTAATGTGAGACTATCAATAATATTAGTCAACAGCACACTCTAGTGGTGCAATGAAACTGACAACTGAAATACTAGTATACAGTTAGACTGCCAGAGACAGGTTAGTAATTAGCGCCCTCTAGTGATGAAAAAGAACTTTTTGCAATGTGTGCATTAAGGCCAAGAAAAAAGGTACCTCACACGTTTTTTTTTTTTTCCAATTTTGTATATTTGCAAAGTGCACCAGGTTTGATAGAATAAAAAAATGTTTATTTTCTGTTTCAGAGAATGTTTTGTCAATCCAAATTATATTTTAGCCTATACTAGCTAATAACCAATATGTAATCTTAAATTGACCTTTCCCTGTGTGCTCAAAGGTCATACTCCTACCTTTGAGATAATTACTTACCTTTGTATAATTGCATTTCCCCATATGAAGAGATGTGATGAGACTAATGTTGTATATGACAATCCACACCATGACCCTACTGATATATCTACAAGTAAGTAATCAGACATACTGTCAACACGTAGTGTGAATGAATAAACAAAATGAGATCAGAATTGGAATATTGAAGACAGTAAACTAAGCAATCTATCTGGATTTCACTTAATTATTAATAAAAACAAAGAAATGAAAAAAAATAACACATCTGTGAAATCATTGAAGCATAAAAAAAAATCCAAGACCTACCTTGAAAGTCACTCCAATTATCAATATCTGCAACTGATGTGACAAGCTCCCAGCTGCCAGATCCTTGCGTACCTAGAGTAATGAAATCAATTACAGACAAAAAATATCCATTAACAACAACCACCCAAGGTAGGGCACATGAGGGGAATTTGAATCTTAAAAAATGAGTTTTTAATTTGACTTGTGAGCATGTTTTGTTGAATGAAAACACTTCTTTTATGTACAAGTACATGTACATGTATTTAAAAATTCTTCCCTAACAGAATTTTTGAGAAAAAAATTGCACTGAATTCTGGTAATACACACAAATACTATAATAATGCTATGGGTACATTTATGGGACATATTTGTACCTCAAATCAGTCAAACACATATATAACAGCCAAATATTCTCATTTCACATATATTTTTGGGATATTGTTAATGAATGTATGCAGTAATATTGTACTTACCTGCATACTCTACAAGGAAATAGTCATGTGATATATCTATGGTAACACGTAATAAAAACAAATATGTATCCTGTTGTGTGGGATCAATGCTGGCACTCACAACACTACAGTTTTCACTTTCAACTGTATCTGGAGAAGTGATAAGAAAATATTTTTGGTTAGGAAAATCAAAATATCTATTACAGTAGAAGAAATATTCACTTTAGCGGATTTGACGTTGCATGAATCACTAGGTTTTAAGTTCACTGATTTCTGATTCTATGATTACATTTGTAAAGACACTCCACACGGTAAACAAGTAAAAGGCAAAGACAAGTTTATTGAGCAAAAAACGACTTACATACACAAACTACAAAACTAATAAAATTACAATTTATAAATATACAGTTCATAAAAACTACAAAATTGGGCAGGAGGCCCACTTCTACCCACCAAGACAGCACATGCCCCCCTGAGCAATGAATTTCGGGATCCAAAAGAAGGAGGGGGAAAACCTGTATGAGGCCGCCCGACCTTGAAATGGGGGTCAGGATGAAATCCAATGCCCAGGCTGGTGGGAAGAAGCTAGCCAAAAAAAGAGGGGGACGAAGGGGATGGTGGTGGGATAACGAGCGAAGAGAATACAAAGCTTGAGCAGTAACGCGTAAAAAACAATGAATAAAAACTGCTGAACAAAAGAAAACAAAAGAGGTAGGGACGCTACAGTCCATGTGCACAAGCTGGCTATGATTGGCTGGCGAAAAGAAGCTGATTGGTTGACAAAGATGTGAGCTGATTGGTCGAAATAAACAGGCTGTGATTGGCTGAGAGCGGAGCAACCAGAATCCTAAAATTGTACCAAGATCAAGGGTTCCATGTCTTTACAAATTCACACTTGTGCAGGCACAAGTGAACAATTTGCATTTTCAGAGTTTTAATTTAGCTATTAGTAAAATAGACAGAACATATTCAATTACTGTAAAATGGGAAATTTGAAACATTGGTAGTCACATTTCTACATGTAATACAGTTACATGTAAAATGTATATAAATTAGAGTAAATAATTTGTCACAAATTTCACAAAATGAAAGAATGATTACTGAGTAACATAAGGAGTCCATGCAGAATGTTCAAATTGAGTAATTTGAGGAGCCTTTGCAGAAACGTTCAAATTGAGTGGCAAAGGGAGTCCATGCAGAAAGGTTCAAACTGAGTAACAAAATATTAACATAAAAAGCCAATGCAAAATGTTCAAATTGAAGAAAATATTACATTGTAATGACATGTTTTTATCAGGACACTTCCAAATTCTTAATTTTGTTTTTGGAGTTCCCAGGCTATCGCTACGGTGTGCTGGCCGTGGTAAACTGAATGATAAACAAGAAAAGAAAAACATAATTGCCGAAGCCATCGGTTGAATGAAAGGTGTTAAAACGTGCTAACTTTGTCCTTTGAGATCTTTGGAAACTCGCCCTAAACTTTTTACTCTGCAAGACATCCGGGAACTATGTCCGTTATATGCAGTTCAGTTGATCACTGCGGCCACTGAAACCTGGCCGTTGGCCGCGTTAGACAGGTGGACGTTCTATGGAGTGTCAATTACATGGCAAATTGCACGGGATTGCTGTAGAGTGACTGCTTCGAAGAGGGTGATCGTTCTCTGAGGGTGGCCGCTAAGACAGGTTTGACTATACAGTCTATGCCAACAGATTCAAATTAATTAACATAGGGGGTCCATGGAGAGAGGTTCAAAATAAGTAAAACAGGGAATCCATGCAAATTTGCTTGTATATAATTACAATTGGGTACAGAAGTTTTAATGAAATGTTTTTGATTTAAAGATGGTCAAACTTACCTACAACATTTTCCAGAAAGTCACAGATAGATCCTTCACTGTGACCAGCCAGTATAGAAAATGTCAAAGTGTAATCTGTCAATAGATGTACACATTGTATTTAATATTTTCTGACAATTTAACCAATACATAATCTATAATTAAAGTATGCTTTAGCTTTCATTACATTACTTATAAAATGCATATAATCAGGGAACTGAAGATGTGAGACACATTAAAATTGTTATTTCAACTATCAAAAATATTGAAAATTTGTGTTTTTACCATTTTCACTTTTATAGCCTATAGTATAGACATCACGATGCTCTGTGACGGCAAGCATATTAGAGTCTGTAATGGACTGCTGTAAGGGTGATATCAACATCTTAACACACACTTCTAACACATTTATGTAATCTTCACTTATTTCATACAAGCCTCTTGATGTGCCCAATAGTATCTTCTCAGTAAGAACTAAACTATCATAAAGCATTGGCTCAGTGGTGGAAACATTGCATACTGGTCGATCACTCGGTAATTCAATCTACAAAGAAAGAGATGAAATTAGTGAATCATTAAAGCTGCATGACCATTTGACCAAAATTGATTGTTACAATGTAGTCAATTTTCAGAATCGAATCCAAAATTATACATGTCACAATCTTGTGTTACTATGTTTGACCGTAAATTTCACATATCAATACGAAAACTTAAAATGAATATTCAGGAATGCACAAATTTGTTAAATTAAACGTTGTCTTTGAAGACAATCATCATCCTTGGTTAATTTAAACTTAAATTAATTAGAAACTTCATCAACAATTTCAAAATATGGCCGCCCTACGTAAGTGGTGGGCGTTTATCAAAGGAATACCTCTATCGTGGATGCTTATCCACGTGTGTGTTTCTCGATTCAATTATATTTGTTGTTGTTTAATTATAGTTATTATTTTTCATTCGTATTTACTTTGTATCGATAGACAACCATTTTCTGTATTTGTTCGATTTGGTTTCATTCGATTCCAAGCATTATTCTCTGAGTTATGTCTGTTAGAAGCCGTTTCATGCTTCAATTCATCTCACAATACATGTATTCCTATGACAAAGAAGCACAAATCAATTTATTGTAAGCCATTTACGTAATTTTCACAAACATGCCTTTATCACAGCGAACGCAAGAGAAGTCGCAACTTTGTAGCAGATTAAGCCGAAATGTTTATTCTATAGTGACCTTCTCACATGGCACACCAATCATAGCGTTTTTCCTCCAATTTTAAAATCCGCGGTATAATCCTATTAACCCTATATAAAGGGTGTTTTAGTGCATGTTTAGTGTGGATTGTTCTAATTGCACTTTGATACCAGACTTCTTCTTCTTTTCTTCTCTTGTGTTACCATTACACAATCACAGTGCTCACAGTTTTTTGGACCTGATCAAATGTGTGCGATAGACAGCCACAACCTCAGAAAAAATTTATTCTTTTTTGGTTTAACATTGTAACTATGTTAACAACCTCTAAAATTTATCCAAATTACATTTTTTGTTCACCATGGCGGGCTAGGGAGAATAGTAATATATAAAGGGAATATCACCACTACATGTTTATATCATAACAATACCTGTGTTGTTATAGATATTAACATTCCCAGTAGTACATATTTAAATATAAGACTTAGGGAGGATTAATTGAAATGGGGAGATGGGAGATTGACTCATTATTATCATAACATTATTTTTGTTATATGCATAGGGATGTAATTTTATCCTTACCTTCAATACATCAACAGTTTGAAAGTGGTCTTGACTAAACAGTAGAGTATTGGCCTTTCCTTTAAAGATAGATGGCATACTATCTTTGGTAACAACTATGGTAGAATCACTGGAACTGACTTCATCAATGACTGTATCATTCAGTAAGATTTTCTCTCCTAACATATTTACTTCTGATTCTGTTTCAAAGTATTCATGGTAAATTGTTTTCCTGAATTAAAACAGACAAACACAGCATACACATGAGACAATGCTTCTAAAATCAAAGGAGTCATATGTTTTAGTTTTATGATTAGATTCTTTACATACTAGTATTCTAATAATCAACAGATTATTCAAAGTCAATTTATGACTTTTTTTTTTTTTTAGAAATTCATGTCTTACAATGAATCTGCAAGAATGTCTATGTTCTGAACACTCTACATATGTTTTCCATCAAATTATTAATCCTGAAATTCTAAAAACATTTGTATACCATTTTATGCTCATTGCGAGATCCAGTGTTATGTGTGAAATCCAACGTAAAAACAGGACAAACAAACCTAGTACAGAATTCTACATATACCCCCAAAGTATTTTCACACATAATAATGTGCTATACACATTTGATGATGGTCAGTTTTGATTAATTAAGGATATCTTAATGCATAACAGAAATCACCCCTTGCCTGAGTGATCACAACATGGAAATAGATTTAGAAAGGAAAGTTAAATCCAAAATTACATCAGATATATCGCTGAAGTTGGAAAACATTTCAGTTTGTACAAATAATAGGAAATAACTTTTTGAAACATACCCATATTAAAATTTAAATACAAACGAATTAACTATTATTCCTCTGTCTAAATAAATACCTGTAAACAACACTTTATAAATAAACACTCCACCTAAGAATCAGAAAACTTGTAATATCATTATTATGTATTATTATTAATATTAAGAGTTTTGTTGCTTGGTAATGTTTACCATACTACCAGTAAACTTTCTGATGGTATTGTTCCACAAGAAATGTTACCGGTATTATTATTATAAGAATGAATGAATGAATGCACACAATGGAAGATTTTTTTGGATACTTAGCCAGCCACTTTTGTTTATAATGACACATTTATAGCTGCTTATTTTTCTAAATAGTCAAAATCTTCCATAAAACTGTAATAAAGTTTCAAACACCAAAGTCAGCTTAAGTTACCTTTCCTGACTTCGTATTTTTCAACAATTTTGAGACATGTATGCAATAAATTAATTAAGAAATTCAAGATATACTGTGTTAGGAAAGGGGTTATTATTCAATGTTTTTTTTTTTTAATTTAAAGGGCAGTGGTCAGCGCACCACGCATGCACCAGATATGGGTCTCATATAAACAAAGATGGCGATTTTGACTGTTGAACACACCAACAAGTCAAACCAACAGGTTACCAAGCCTTAATTTGGTATTTTTGGGGGGGATTTTAGGGAAATGAAGGAGTCGTCGATGGTTATTAGTGCAAGTGACGCCCAGAGCAAAGTTCTTACTTTTGATTGCATTATTGAATCATACTGGATTGTGGGAAAATCAATGTTTATCAACACAAATATCGCACATGGGCGGCGCGACAACCATCATCCTTTAATAAGAATTGAATCCTCAATTTCAAATGATTTCCACTTTTCCACACGTTTTTCAACCATCCTCACAAAAAGTGTGTATATATTTAAAAAAAAACATCCTGTATACCTGTATACATGTGAAAATAGTCCTATACCATTGGTAGTAACTTCAACATGCACAGAATGTGTTTGGTTATCTAAAGGCAGTGGTACAACCCATGCAGGATGACACAATGTGTGTTGACATTCCATCTCAGTAGACACTCCAAGTTCAACTAAATCAATCAGAATAGCTGACAATACATGTTGCACAGTACCCCGAGTTTTGTTGGTAGAACTCACAATAACTTTTGGAGACATCCCTGTAGCAACTGAATTTCTAATGACTGATGGTGTAATTTCATTACAGCATGTAATCTGTATTTGCAAAGCATATGGGTACGAGTAGTAGGCATCCACAGTCTGTACAATAGAATCAGATATATAATTAATATAATATGCGTCATAAGGTATTTCCATTTCCAAACTATATCTAAGTCTAAACTTTACCTGCATGTTTTTCATAACCATGTACGGTGATAATAATAATAATAATAATATTTATTGCATCTTTAGAAATACAGTATTTCTATCAGTACAGTAGCAATAAAAGTATAATAATAATGAAATAATAAAGAAAGAGAAAATATTATAATGTTAAGTATAAAAGTAAAATGTAATGTGTTAAATTTTTCTTTTTACTAATACTAATAAGTTTAATAATAATAAAACTAAGACTAATAATAATAAAATTATTGATATGAAGATCTCATGAGAAGCAAACTCTAGCAATGTATTAAAGTGGTCCCATTAGTACACAATACCCGATTGCAGTTCCAATCAATAGCATCGCAGAAAGCAATAAGTATGAGATTATCGACCCACTCAACGCGTACGTATTACAAGTTTTACATATAAGCATGGACACTTCTTTCACACTCATTAATTTACTTTAGGATTTCTAGAAATGTTGGTTTCTTGTGTGATTTTGTAATCATCTTGCAATTCATGTAGCTTCCTCATTTCCTGCAAGACTTTTATGGTCTATCACACTCTAATCACAGTTGCTTGTATCCAAGGAGAAAATGTTGTTTATATGTTTGGACAACCTGAATAACTGATGAGACTATCTTGCCCTCTCTCATAATGTGCTAGTGAATATAAACCCTGATCCTCCCCCAACTCGTGGTTAAGTGGGGACAAGAAAAATCACTGGAGCTGTTAAATATATTGAGCTATCGCGAGATAAGCCAAATGATTACACGACATTGACTCGTGCATAAATCTTTGTCAGGGCCGGATCGTCCTGATACCACTACATGTAGTATTCACATATGTACCGGTAATTATGCATATGTAACATTTAACTTAAAAGTTGCCGCTACGAGAATATATCTTACCAGTTCGTCTTCAACGACTAGGTTCAGCGCTTTATCAGAAATAATGGAACTAACGGGTATAAGGTCAGCTGGTTTAATAACGCTGACTGTTGTTAGATTTAGATTTTGCTGTACAACGTCCACACGCCAGGCACAGTCAACGCGAATGTCATAATTCGGGCAAACTTGACCGGAGTACACTATTTGCAATAGAAAGAAGAATAAAACACGGAATATTCTATTGCCGAAATATAGCATCGTTCGCCTTATAACCGTGTGTACCTTGCGTAACGACGTTAGGCAGCATAAAATTGAGAACTGTCAATCGTGTTTAGGTCGACATCGAGCCTGATGACAAACCAGCGCTCCGACACGGTACTTGCCACATTCTGTGAGTTGTTTACAGGCTACATATATTCTATACATGAATTTCTACATCGGATGGCTTGAAATGCTCTAGTTTGGGTAAGTAAGGGACTGAACGTCGTAAAACTTATTCATGAAGCAGCAGACGGCGATCAGCAGACAGCCATCTCACACATGTAAAGAAAGGACGCCCTCAAGAGCGAAACAAATTCACGAAGCTCGTCGTCTCGCGTTATTTACCGGTCTCTGACTTCCGGTTCCTGTGTTTTGTCGAGAACATTCTCGTCGTGGTTTGTTGCGACAATACTCGTGGTTGTGATTCATTCCGAGTTACAGATTTCATCGCGTCAATATGGCTAAATGGGGAGAAGGAGACCCACGATGGATCGTCGAAGAGCGTGCTGACGCTACAAACGTAAACAACTGGCACTGGTAAGATCACTACAGACAGACATCAATCTAACGATCTTTTCGAAGTCCACCGTACTCAAAAGTCGACTTTGAGTTTGACGACTGAGCTGGAACTTGAACTTAGAAATCCAATTTTATGATTCAGTATTTTTTTCTGTGTTCAGAGTTTTCATTTGGTGGTAATTTACTCCATGTTATTATATTTGGCCAAAAATCAAGTAAAGTAATTTCCAAGTATGATTTTGATGCGTATTTTTAGTGAATCAACAACAATAAGTGCTGTTTTTAATTTAACGACACCCAAAAATCATAATAAGGATACGGGATCATCATTACTTTTGAGGTTGTTATTTCACATGTAATTTAGTATTATTGGCGAGTGTTTATTTACGATTATTTGCAATCAAAATCAAGCTACCCAAACAAATTATCTTCGCCAAAAAAAAAAAAAAAAAATGACGTTGTCAACCTGTTTTCATGGCAACACATTTTTAAGCCCATTATCACTTTATGAAGATACTTTCAAGTTATAGCATGTACTTAGTACTAAGATTATATTAGAATACATGTAGTTTACTATTGCCCTGTTATACAATTGTTGATATATTTCTCTGTACGGTAATAATAACTGCAACATGTAAGTGAATTATTACACTGTAACTGACAATGTACTTGATGATTTGTTTTACAGGACTGAGAAAAATGCATCTAACTGGTCAAAAGATAAAATCAAAGATCTGTTTCTTGGCATCAATGTTGAAGATGATAGAGGTTGTGTTTTATTTTTTCACATTTTCAACAATGTTCCTTGACTTTGCATCATAGAGAAACTAATTATAAAGATGTGTTCATCTCGATATTTTTAATCTACAATAAATCAGTCCAAACCACAATTCATAATTAACATACATTTTCTAAAGTAAGCTTCACTCTGATTTTGTCCTTGATTTGATTCTAAAGTAGGTGCTGCGTGACATCACTTCAATTAGATTTAAAGCAATTCTAGGCACTGATTCGACGCTGAAGTAGTGCTAATATATAGATAATATTCTACAATATGTCACACACTTTGTTTTCACTTTTACATAAGTAGTAACTAGAAATATAAACATCGGCGGCAAATCAGAGGAATGATTGACAGATATTGCCCACATTGTTTTCTATTTTTGCTACAAAGTCAGGTACCCCTAGACTTTGCGACGCATCTGTCTTTTAGTCACTTTTGGTCAGTCGTCGTGTTGATTGCGCGTCTACAAATCAACGTCTGTCGAAAATTATAAAATGTTGAGACAGAGCATTTACGGACGGGAAGTTCAACAAAAACTACTCGAGGACGGTGTATGTACGGCGGCAACCCTCCCCAGACGTGTGATCGTTTGTTGCAAGTGAAAAGCTGTTTAAAGCGATTATTCTGTGGCACATCAATGTTTTGGTTCTCATCGAGAACTAATAATCAAATGACACCCTTCTTACTCATGTATTCAATTTCATTATTGATATACTGGATGAAGTCTTCATAGGACATTTGTTGCAGGCAGCTTTCAGTTATATAGATCGGCGTGATATGGATATTTCCATAGTAGGAATAATGCGCTTTGATCAACAATTCTGCCATGATCAGTCGGTCAGCTGGTTCTGTAAAATAACTACCGGTAACTAACGTTCTTTACAGTGCCACCACTTTATGCGCCCCTCTCACTGAAATAACATGTGAAGCAAATTGAAGTAGGAAACTAAGTTGAGAGCCTCGATCGTTTATTGGAAAAGAAATTCAAAACTAATGTACCGCCACTTTTATGGGTGGAGCTTCTTTCGGTGCGCTTCAAATTGCAGACATGCTGTCTGCATTATTTGTAACAACTTCTGTAAATTTGAAAACAAAGTGTGTAACCTATTGTAGTAAGTTATCAACATCTAGCACTACTTCGGCATCAAATCAGTGCCTGGAATTGCTGTAATTTTGCTGGTAATGACAAGTAATATAGAGCAAGTTTTAAAGAAAAAGAAAAAAAAATCAGTATTAGTATTGAGTTAACATTTTTAGAATGCTGCACTACCATCAGTTAAAATGTATCTAAATACCAAACATGTAATTCGACAGTTTGCTTTCATAGTTTTCATGGTTCAGAGAAAAAACTGTAACTGTTTGACTCCCGTGTGCGAAGCACAAAAGGGAGTCTTTGCAGTTACCCTGTCTGTATGTCTGTATGTATGTATGTCACTTTTTTTGTTCCACCGTTATCTCAAGAACCACTAATCAAATTTTGGTGAAACTTGGTACATAGATGCTCTGGGATAATGCACAGAGTTGATTAGGTTTTGGTAAAAATCTATGAATATTAATTACCTAATTTGCATGATAATTAGCTGATTTTTAGCTGTTCCAAGACTGTTCCACTGATATCTGAAAAAACAACTCATTGGATTTTGATGAAACTTGGCACATGGATGCTCTGAACTAGTGCGCAGATTTGATTAGTTTTGGGTAAAAATCTATGAATATTAATTATCTAATTTGAATGATAATTAACTGATTTCAAGCTGTTCCATGACTGTTCCACTGATATTTGAAGAACCACTCATTGGTTTTTGATGAAACTTGGCACAGGGATGCTCTGAACCAATACGCAAATTTGATTAGTTTTGGGTAAAATCTATAAATATAATTACTAATTTGCATGATAATAACTGATTTTAAGTGTTCCATGACTGTTCCACTGATTTTTGAAGAACCACTCATTGGATTCAATGAAACTTGGCACATGGATGCTCTGAACTAATGCGCAGATTTGATTAGTTTTGGGTAAAAATCTGTTAATATTATTAATTACTAATTTACATTATGATTAATCCATTTTCGGCTTTTCCACTGATATCTCAAGTACTAATCATAACATTTCAATAAAACTTGGTACATAGATGTCATATGACACTGCACAGACCTGGTAGTGTTTAGGGTAATATCAGTACATATTAATTACCTAATTTGCATATTTTGGTAAACATGTATGCTTCTTAATCACTTAATTAACATAATTAATTAATACTGATATCTCAAGTATTGATCATCACATTTGAATAAAACTTGGTACATAAATGCTCTAGGACAATAGATAGCCTGATTAATTTGGGGTTAAAATCTTTTCATATTAACTCTCTAAGTAGCATAATAATTAATATTTTTGGGGTTCTAATCACATTTCAATGAAACTTGGTACATTGTGCAGACCTTATTAGTTTTACACTTAAATCTGTTCATATCAGTTACCTGATTTACATAATTAGTTTTCAGCTATTCCATCAATATCTCAAGTACAAGTAATTTTGAATTAATTTTTAATGTGTCTTCAATACTCTCAGCACACGGGAGTTCTTTCTAAGCTTTCTTTGATTTTACTTTGATTTTAGGTTTCTGTGAAATCACATCAGTTGTCAATTGTGAAGGGGAAGCCTCTGCCAATAACAGAAAAGCAAAACTTATTTTCTTTTATGAATGGGAAGTTAAACTAGAATGGACAGGTATGTGGTTTGTATTAGGTCTCTTAAATGAGGCCACCATTATATGATGTCCATTCTGAAATAACAGCACTGTTTGTTGTTGTGTATTTGTCTAACACACATCGGTACTATTATGTGTTACTATTGTGTATCCTCTTCTAAAAATTAGAAGTTTTTAAAGAATTTTTATCAGCATCACAACAGACTGCAAGGAAGTCAACTTTTAATACAACAAACATAAAATAGGTTTTTGTTATTTTTTTTGTTATATGACTTAAATTTCTTTATTGTATCAAAATTGGGGGGGTGGGGGGGTGGGGGGGTGGGCTCTTACCCAGATAAATACAGTGTTCTTAATATGCATAACTGTAATGAACTAAGTACTATTGTAGATAGGGACATGTAACTGGTGCTATAGTTTTGTTGTCTGACAAGATATATGACCAAAATCCTAAATATTATTATTTTATTAAATATTTATAATTGTTAAATCATAGCTACTTTGAACCAGTCTAATCATTTGCTCTATTAGAAGCACTTGTGCTTACTGTGAATATAAACTACAAAGACAAGTCTATGGTCAAAATAAGACATATTTCAATGGTTTTGCATGCAATAAAGATGTGCTTCTAATATAGTAAATGCAGTATTTTTTAGTTGTACTTCATGTCTCCAATACCTTCAACACAGAGTTCTTTCTAAGATTACTTTGATTTGTGATTCTGTTTTTGTTGTAAGTAAAAAAAAAAAATGTTCACATTTGTTGAAATCATCATTACCGGTAGGTATGTTTATGTTGTCACTGGTATGATATTGTGATCTCTGATTGGGATCACTATATCAATAATAAATTACACAACAATAAATAAATGATTTATTTTCTGTTTACAGGTAGTCTCACAGACTGTGAAGCCATTTTAAGAGGCTCTATTGAAATTCCAAATTTGAGTGATGAAAATGAACCAGATGAAGTTGATGTAAGTATCCACTCGCCTACTAAACTATTACAAGCATAAATAATAAAAATAATAAGCTTATTAGTATTTACATGATCTGCCTGATCCAGCAGCATTATGTATTCCTATTGGATCCAGTGTTCTCCCTAGACTTCATGTCAAGTGTCGTGGCTAATTTGCGTAATAGTGCATCTAATTTGCATAATATGTTTTCCCAACAAAATTTGGGATACAGTAAGTGTTATTATTATAAAAATGTTGAACCTATCTGCAATTAATTAAAGACGAGATAGTCTGATATATTTTATATCACTTACTTCATTGTATTTTATGCATGTATCAAGTGAAAGTTTGAAAGTAGAGCAGCAAAGAAAAAAGCAATGGAAATATTTATGTCATATGCAGTCATTAAATAGTTATCCATTGAGGTAACTACAGAACTGCCATCCGTTGCGAAAAATTCATATTTGTTATGAAAATACAACGAGAAAGGATAATACGAAAACGCATCAAATAAATTTAAAAATGCATAAAATGCAGTTTACGCCACTCAAGAAAAAAAGCGTGTTTATTGTGTGATTGGGTAAAATATATTTGAATCATGTAAAAACTCTTTTTTCAAGACCTATTTTACCTTTTAAAAATTGCTAATCACCTCTTTCGAAAACCATCATGCAGTTTTCAACTGAAATTGATGCCAACACATCTAACTACGACATCGCTTTACTTCCGCAATGTTATTTTTATGATCACTATCATTCGGAAAACTTTTACTGGCAATACCATGCAGCATTCTGATTGGTTAATGGCATTCTTGACCCATCTGGTCAAAGAACACATGCCAGTCAACCAATGCGTCACAAACATCGTGGCGGGACAAGGCTTTTTACCGAAGCGATCAAGTGATCAAAAATAACTGCTTTGATGACTGTTTGGATATTATCTTAAAATTTAATTTTGCAACAATTCAAATTTTCTTGTTTCTTGTTCATTTATTAATTAAATCAGTGCATTGTAATATTAACTTGTACAGTTTGCTGTATTGTTTTGAGACAACATTTACTTTAACCCACCCACCCTATGGTATGCATTAGCACTGTGATAACACATGATCAAGTCTTTATATAGGTAATTCACTGCAACTTAATAAAAATACAAATTTTGGATTGAAAATACAAATTTAGTAGGTGCTGAGTACTAATTCTGATTTTCCAAGGTTGGCAACTCTGTAACTGTGGTTCATCCTCATTTTGTGTATAACAAGTACAATCAGTTTTAGTGCTAATTTGGTCTGCAAGATATCAAAATATGAAGAAATTAATAAATCAATAATGACAAATTTTTTTCTTTCTACATCAGCAATTCAAATACTCATTGATCTATTTATATCTTAGGCATAATGCTAAAATCACCATAACATTGTCGGCATTGAATGGGTATTCATCGCTGCTGTTGCGATCATCGGTGCCTGACTTTTTCGTTCAAAAATACACAAATTTAGGATGTTTTGTTAATTAAAACAATTAAATGACGATTATCTTGGACATTATCCCCAATGAGATGTTTTTAAACATGGAAAATCATGCACTGTGCCGCCATCTTTGTTGCCCCAATACCCCTTGTAACCCAGCATGCGCATCTGCCGCGATGTCACAACGTACATGATGTTGCTTTAGGGTGGCGGCTCGGTTCTACGGCACTCTATGAATGAGGTATTTCCATGAGTCAGGGTTCGTTTTTTTCTTCAGCCATCTCATCTGCTGTTGAATGTTTTTTGGCTTTCATTTATTCAGTTTTTCTTTCCAATGCGACTTGTTTTTTAGCTCCGCTGTCGGCTTTGTCGAGCGGAGCTTATCATATGAGTGATTGTCTGTCGTAGTTCCTGTTAATGTTTTGCTTTTTCGACTTCTTCTTGAAAACTACAAGCCTGAATGCTTTGATACTTGGTGTATATGTACCTTGGGTAGACCTCTCTCAGATTTGTTCATTTCATGTTGATATCTTCAATCTTGGTGAATATTTTTGTAATTTTTGGTAAAAAGTGATATTTTTGACTTTTTGTTAAAAACCGCAAGTCCAATTGCTTTGATATTATATTATATATAGGTACTACATGTGGACCGCACTCAGATTTGTTCATTTTGTAATGATATCTTTAATTCTCTAATTTTGGTGAATATTTTTGGTAAAAAGTGATATTTTTGACTTTTTGTTAAAAACTACACGTCCAATTGCTTTGATATTACATATATAGATACTACATGTGAACCACTCTCAGATTTGTTCATTTCATGATGATATCTTCAATTCTCTAATTTTGATGAATATTTTTGTCATTTTTGGTAAAAAGTGATATTTTCTACTTCTTGTTGAAAATCGCATGTCCGCTTGTTTTTATATTACATTATGTGCAATGGGCAAATTATTACTACTCTATCTCTAGTACTGTAAAATCTGTATTAGTAGCCATGGCTTCTATTAAAATGGTACAATGCAACATAGAGGCTGCGGCTTCTATTGGAGCATCGACATATATGAGAAATAGTGAATGTTTGGTTCTCAATTATCAAAAATAATAGGTGAAACTTGTATTAGAGATGTGGCGTATAATACAGATTTTACGGTATTTGTTTTTAGATTTAGGGGCGCTGCACCTGTGAACGACTTGGTAACTTCTTGCAGACTTCTGTTTTTATCACTGTCTTTGTATGGCTAACAAAAGGTGGGATTACATGTTATTGTTTTAAATTTGTTCAATCCAGACTGACACTTGTGAACAAAGCAATAAGCATCGCAGGAGAATGACCAAGTGTCACGGACAAAGGCCAAGCATCGTGAGCGAGTGTCCAAGTGTCACAATACCATGGCGCTTCAGAGGCCTGGGGACAACACTAGGATCATGTCTTATTGTCTACATAGGTCTGCCATCTCTATGCAGTTGTGCATAATTATGAATATATAACGAACGAACATATTTAACATCCGGGTACTTTTCAAAGCTATGACGTTTTAGTATCTGATCGCATTCGTATACTACGCCATTGTACATGCCGTTCATGCTGCTAAGCATTGTGTACTACTAGTATAAACTCATCTTTTATATGCACAACATGCTTTTTAGAATTTGGGTTAGAGCATTATGCGTTTGAACCACAGTATTCTGAGAGTGGAAGCCCAATTGAGTTAAAGTACCGTGCTTCCCCGATTGTAAGCCCCTTCCGAGTATGAAGCCCATCCCTCTATTTTCACTAGGTATTTATCAAGTTGAGGGTATTCACAATTATAAGCCCCGCGTTTTTTAATTGGGCGTCGACGATATTCTTTAAAATATGCGTGTAAAAAGTGTTTCATTTCATAATGATTGGCATGGTAGTTCGGTTCGTGCTTTTATGAGAAAACTCGCATTAATTTCAGAGTGCATGGCAAACGTATACACCGTGGTTCGCATCCTTTCTATTCTGTCATTTACTCAGGATGAACCCTGATGTTGCAATACTGAAGTAATCCATATTTCTTTGAGTAGTAGCTTTCGAAAAGCCAAAAATGTGATCGTTAAGTCGTGTACCTGGTTATTGGGCATGATTTACTTTGAGACTATCATGAAAGGTGAAAGGTGTTTAAATTCTTCCTCCACACTCAGTTTACCCACGGTTACTATTAACCGTCGTTTACTTTTTGGAAATTGCGAATCGCCGGTTTTTAGGGAAAATACCATCTTTCTTTTCGTTGCAATCAGTGCTACAGATCGCATTTTAACATTGCGGTAATTCACTTCCGCATTGCGTTAAGTGTTGTTTCCCCGCAGACCCTACCATTATTTCACTGTAAATTCAGACGGTATGTAAATCGTATTGTAATAAAATGTCTGTTTGTTGTTTCTTCATTGTAAGTGTCGTGGAAATCAATGACGCATTTTTTTTCCAAAATGAAGTATTATTTTCCCAAGCCCGGCGTGGTGAACGAATAATTTTTCGTTGTTGGCAGTATGGTTACAGTGTTTAACCCAAAAACAAAATCATCTTTTCTGAGTTGGTCCTCGAGTAAAAGCTCATCCCTTACTTTTCCCTTGCGTGATCATGCCTCAGGGAAGTACGGTATACTGTGAAAATTCAGATCAGTCCAGTGTGAGTGATGAGAGTAGATCGTTGATGATGCCCCTTGTTCGAATAATAGTTTTATTGACTCCCGTGTGCAAAGCACAAAAAAGGGAGTCTTTGCAGTTAGTGTGTGTGTGTGTGTGTCCGTTTGTTCCACTGATATCTCAAGAACCGTACATCAGTTTTTGATGAAACTTGATGCATAGATGGTTTTGGTAAAAATCCATGCATGTTAATTACCTAATTTGCATGATAATTAGCTGATTTTTAGCTGTTCCATGACTGTTCCACTGATATCTAGTTTTGGGTAAAAATCTGTGCAATATTAATTATCTAATTTGCATAATGATTAATCAATTTTCGGCTTTTCCACTGATATCTCAAGTACTAATCATCACATTTCAATAAAACTTGGTACATAGATGTCATAGGACACTGCACAAACCTGATAGTTTTTAGGGTAATATCAGTATATATTTATTAGCTAATTTGCATAATTAATTAAATTTCAGCTTTTGATATTTCAAGTAGTACACTGACACAGACACTGCACAGACCTGCTAGTTTTTAGGGTAATATCAGTATATATTAATTAGCTAATTTGCATAATTAATTAATTTTCAGCTTTTGGTATTTCAAGTAGTAATCACATTTCAATAAAATTTGGTACATAGATGTCATAGGACACTGCACAGACCTGACAGTTTTTAGGGTAATATGAGTACATATTAATTACCTAATTTGCATAATTAATTAATTTTCAGCTTTTGATATATCAAGTAGTAATCGTCATATTTCAATGAGACTTGCTACATAGATCTTCCAGGATTATGCAGACACCTGATTAGTTTTAATTGGATATTAATTACCAAATTTGCATAATGTTCCACTGATATATAAAGAAGCACAAATTGGATTTTAATGAAGCTTTTAAAGAGAACTATGCAGAAACCCAATTAGTTTTTGGT